CAGTTGACATTGTCCCCTCTCCCCTCTTTAATAAATCCTATTTTAACTAAACATTGCTTGTGAGTGGTGAAATTTTTTTTCTATTAAACCACCAAGTTAAAATATACTTTTCTGGGTGGGGGCTCTAACCAAATTTAGAAAGTTAGCATTAAACCCCTAAATTGAAATCTGGCTTTTGTGACTGCTGTTCAGTGCCTGGCAGAAGGCTTACAACATTAAAAGAAAAAGGCTAAGCAAACCTCAGGAATTATTACTAATAATCTATTTCAAAGCCAGCCTCCCTATTATCATCTTACATAAATGTATCTGTAGCCTCCAGAGGGGGGATCCTTAGCAGTCTTGGAAAGACTGTGCCAGTGCACATGGATGATAATTACTTCAGAATCCATTTGTCACAAGCATCTTACTCTTAATGGTCAGAATTTTCTTTTTCCTCCTCTCTCTCTGTGGTATGAAACTACCCAAAGGTCTTAAAGTACAAGAGGGAGGTGGAATGTACATCATAATATATTTAGCAAATGAATATGAAAAGAACTAAAAATAGATGAGAGAGAGACAAATACAGTCCCAATACAAGGTTTCTGCAGCTGCTCAGGAGCTTGTTATCAGCAGGAGCTCAGAACACAAGCAGACAAGATCATCTCCCACAGATGAGTGACAGCAGCTTGTGAATTTGAAGCATGAGATTTTTTACCTGGATCTTCAATGCACCTTAAGTTCCTGACACAAACAGTGACTGCATTGATGCAGGTTTGGAGAAGGGAAAGTTTGTGTCAGGTGTGAGAAGGGGAGAGACTATTATAATCCATTTTAGTGCTCAAGGCTGGTGATGGGACTGCTTGGAGCCATTACCCACTGGTGCTAGATGTGCCAGCATCAAATCTTTTCTTAATTGCACCAATGGCCAGTTTGACCTCTGACAGAACCCAAAGATTGGGACAAGAAAGGATATCTAATAAAAGTTATCTCTTGTGCTTTTCTCTGTCCCGGATATGTCCAGCACCATTGTGGCACACATGGCCTTTTGAAATCTATCTTGCTCCTGATAATGGGATCCAGATAATTTTTGACAAATAATACACAGTGGGCATGGCTACATGAGACACTACTGTGCAGTAGCAACTAGCTTATTGCTACTGCGCAATAGCATTGTCAGGCACTAACCATGATGCAACGCTACTGCACAGTAGTAACAAGCTGCAGTGCAGTAGCTTATTGCTATAGCACAGTAGCATCTGGAAAAAAAAACTGTGGGGGGACACTACTGTGCAGTAATGCCAGTTACTGCACAGTCATTTAGTGCTTGCTTATGCAAGTACTAAATGCTTATGCAAATATGAAATGCTTATGCAAGTACTAAATGACTGCCCAGTAACAACTGCGCATTCCACCGCCCATGTAGACATGGCCATGTCTTTCATGCACATGACTAGTATATTTTGTGTGTGTGTGTGTGTGTGTGTGTGTGTGTGTGTTACTCAGGTACATGTAGTATATAATACATGACCGGTTGCATAATTATTAAACAGGTCAAAAGTTGCCCATGAGAACTATATTTTCGGGGGAGGGAGATTGAGTTTTTTATGGAAAAGAATTTTCATGAAAATATCTATTTATTGTGGCAAATACCAGGTTTATGATAAGAAAGTGAGTTATGCAAAACAAGAAAAAAACCAACAACAAAGGAAAAAAGTGTTTGTTCGAATGATCTCCGATGTCACAGTTTTCTGCAGGAAAAGAACATTATGATCAACTCTAGTTAAAGTTAGAGCTCATACAACATCAAAGAGTTCTCATAACTCTTGAAATTCAGCATCTTACCTATGTTTTATTACTTAGTTTCCTACTTTGGAGAATCTTGTCTCTATAACCCAATTTTTCCAAGGTGCTGCGCAAGTATTTTGAGGTCAAATTCCAATAGAGGCCTCACATTCCATATCTGGAAAAGTGGGTACTGAGAATTTGAGGTCACTTGAAAATGTGAAACTCAGTGTTTAGCTCTAGGGGGAATAATAAAAAGATTTTGCTGAAACAAAGAGGGACTGTTTCTTGGCCTTCGTCTCATACACATAAATTGAGTTTTATTTTTAAATAATGGATGCTGTTTTTTTAAGACTGGCTTTTTAAATGTGCAAAGCATTCATTTATTCTCCTCTGTATATGCTCTTATGACTGAAAAAAATGGTGAGTATCTGTTTGCAGGTGGGGAAGGCAGCAACAGAAACCATATTTTCTGACCCCAAATGCTCATTTGAGGCCTATCTGCTTTGGGAAGTGTATGGACTCTGTTGCTTAGCAACCACCCTCCCAACTCTCGGCAGCAGGAGGGTGCTGTGAGCATACATGCGCATTGATAATCTGTTTTTGAGACCCACAGAAGGCTCTGTTGTGATGCAGTCAGCCAGATTATATTTCACAGGAAATCAATTCATTTTAACCCAGAGCTATGGGCAAGCTTTGAAGCAGTTCTTTGTAACCTTGCACTAGGAGCATCCCTGTATGTTTTCTTATCAAATGAAGGGAAGGCAATGTTGCCTGAGAAGAGAGTTCTCTCTCCAATGTTTATAAATGCTATTACAAGCTAAAACCTACAGTACATCTTCTCAGGAAAGGGAGAGAAAGTGCTCATTGCTTTGGGTGGGGCTGAGCTGATATATAGACATTTGAGCAGTTAATATAAAGAAGGGTCAGGGCACTATTTCCTTCTTCCTTTTCTATAAGTACACTGTAGAGATAATGAATTGATTTTCTATGTATGTAGTGTGCATTTGTTCACATAGGTGTATCTAAGTGTGTGTTATTCTGTAGGCACTGATGGATCCAAGGTGTACACTAGATGGTGCTTGCACAACACAGGGAACAAACAGCACATTTATCTCAAGGTTTAAGGTTTGCCGGCCTCCCACAGCTTGATCTCTAGCTATTTTGTGATGTGTGTTCTGGTCTAGCAGGTTGAGCCAGGTAATTAACTAAAGAAGTGTTGTGAGTAATATGAGTGATGGCTGTTTGCTATGTCACAGAAGTGGCACATTATGGAAATAAGAAGTTGCTTATCTTTATGCAGATATACTGCTATGTTGCAAGGTGATATCTCTATTTTTAACTATATCTATCTCCCTGTAGTGCAACAGTTTAGTACTATGTAGGGTATGGCAAACTGGATAGTGATTTAAATGCCAGCTATAGTGTTTTAATGAGTCCTGTAGACCCAACCCTAAGATTTAAAAACATGGATAGAGTCTATTTACTATATGGCTCTACAGCATAAAGCACAAAGGGACCTCAATTTGATTATTCTTTCATATTATCAAAAGGTACATGCAAAACCATCATCACCATCATTTAAAAGAAGAAATAAGCTGTTTGAGCATTTTTAAAAATGTTTTTTGGAGGTGGGGTGAGGAGTGAAATTACCATATATTTTCTAGAGGAGGGTGGGGAGGAAACTTCCTCTTTTACTTCATTTACCTGTGTTGTCATTAAGGGAAAGAGAGTGCACATTGAAGAAAAGTGCTCCTCATAAACTATCAGACTCCTTGCATACTGTGTAGCAGCTTTTTCTGCAGGGTATCTCCAGGATAGCATAATTTCAGAAGCATGAGGGGGGTAGGAAACCCTTGATAGTCATTAACTGACACTTCTGTGTGCTCTGTATTTCCAGTGTGGATCAGCAAAAATTCTCTTATAGCAGATACAGACTGTTAACATTTAAGTCAGTGATAGCTTCCATATGCTTTCCATGTTATTGCATATAATGTGCCTGATTTTGTTTATATGGAAATATTAATGAGACCGAATACAATAATAGAACATGCCACATATTGATTTCTGGTTTGTTGTGGTAAAACTACCTACAGCAACACCTTATAGTAATTTATATTCCCAACTTAATTTATTAAATGACCCTTTATATTTTCATCATGGAATGGAGTTAAATGAGCCTAAAATCAAATTAAGCTACTTTCCATTTGGACAAGTTTGAATTGCAGATAGAGGATGCTGAAAAAAGTTAGTGTGTATTGTGGGGAGTTTTCATTAGGTAAAGGAAGCACGGAGAAGAAAAAACCCTTGTTTTACCCAGAACTTTCCAGTCTTTGACCTCCAAGCAACCAAGTTGCATTGCCAGGATGAAACTTTTGCATCTTTCTAACATCAAAGTGGGTTGAAGTCCAGATGACTTTAGGTGAAATAGGAAAAACAAGCCAAATCTCATGATGGTGCAAATTATGGAGATGTGTCTAATCTTTGACCAGATCTAGGAGCATCATAGTGATGCCTACAAGTGTCTAGCACAGCTGCTTTGAAGCCCACCAATACTAAGCTTTGTAGTAGTAATACTACTACATGTTAAAGGTGCAGCATGAACTGTTGATATGGTCTGTCTTTAAACAGAGGGGTTGTTTTATTGTTAAGTTGTGCAAGGAGGGCCAAAAGTTGTCTGGATCCAACAGCATGCAGCTCTGCATACAGGCACTTGCAGCGCTGTCACGCCTACATCCGGATATGTTGTAAAGAATAAACATCTACACTTCTCTTCCATGCAGGCATTAGGGTTAGGGTTGGGGGGTCATAACTGAGGAAACCCAGTGGGATTCAGGTGCCAGACACAAGGTTTGCCAGCACTGCTGTCTCCAGATTCATCTGAGTGTGGGTATTTCAGTAGCAGGCAGGACTTGCTCTTGACTTGGTCGTTGCAATCTGAAAGGACTGGACCCCCAAATCCACAGGATCCAGAAGGATCCAGGCAGAGTTCTGCTGCTACACAGACTCCCAGGAAGGTCAGGAGGGGAAAAATACAGATAATCTTGCGTTTCCAAGAAGGGGCTGGGAGAGAGACTTTTAATGACTCAGATACCCTCTGCCCAGCCTATCGGGAATGCTTAGGGGAACCAGTCCCTACAATTGGAGCTGGGTCATTTGAGCCTAAGGCTTTGCGCCGCCTCCACCTCCTGGCTCTTTGCAAGGCAACTATCAAATACATAAATAAAGACTCTCTATTGAAGCATCTGCTTCTGTCTCTCCCAAGGACCCGCTCGGCCAGAGGAATTAGCAGCTCTGCCTGTGTCCGATGGAGAATGTGAGCTAATCTCCTGCAGCAGAGCAGTTAAAATAATTGATGAGTGTGTGCTGAATCCCCAGGAAGGAGGAGGGGGGAGGAGAGGGTGCTGATTTCAGCCCTGTAGCGTCAGGATTGCGTCAATTTGGGTTTCAACCACGTCTTCAGTCTCGGTGCCGAGCTACTCAGAAGAGCCGGCACAGGAAGGGGGCTGCAAATCACTGGGCAAAGGGAAGGCTAAAAAGCTCCCTCCCCTTTCCCCCTCCCCCCCCTTCACAGCCAACCTCCTCCTCCTCCTCCTCCTCCTCAGCCTTCCCCATCTTTCATGTTTGTGTTTTCAGCACGCCGGGAAATAAGGAGCCCGCGGAGCCGTGCGAGCCGGGAGCCGGGCGAAGCCGGGGAGGCGCCGTGCAGCACCTTGGACAGCGCACGCAGCAAACATGGCTCCGATCACAGCTAGCAGGGAGGAATTTGGTAAGTTGTCCCCGGGCAGCCCCTGCCCCCCACCCCCGGGGGCTTTGCTGCCATGCAGGGGGGCTCGGGAGCAACTCCCTCCATGCAATGCCCCCTGTCTGCCCTGCCTCAGCTGCCTAGTCCCCTTGACCCATTTTTTGCTCCCCCCCTTTCAGAAGTTTATAAGTGTGTCCTTTTCTTCCCCCCTATGTTTAAGTCCATTCCCTCCCCTCCTTTTTTGATGTCTCCCTTCTTTTCTTCACCCCCAATTATGCTCCAGAGTTGCATAATGCACATCTATCCCCATGGAAAAGATTTTTTTGTTTGTTTGTTTTTGCTTTGGCACTTCTGTTCCTTATAAGAGAAGGACTCGTACAACCCTTTTTTTTTTTTTTTTTTTTTAAATTTTAGTTCTTACAGTGTGGTCTATATTCTTGTTTTCACTGCTGTTTGCTGTGAGGATGACTATATAGTATGCCGTATAGTCATACTGCTCGTATACTGTAAGAGCATCCTGCTCTTTGGGTTAAGCTAAGTGAACCGGTTACTAGTATCGGAGGATAATAATGATAAAGGGGGAAAAAAAAAGTTCTTGGTTATGCCATTTTTCTCTGTTGAATGTTTGCTGCTTATTAACTTTTAAAGGAGGAGAGGTGTTGCATAACAGGCCCCCAAATGCATTTGTGAAAGCATACATATGTTTTCGTTAATTGGAGTTGATAAAAGGCAATGCTTCTGAACGCTGTTTTATAGCTGTTCACTGTAGCCAACATTGTGATTGCTTTAGCACTAGTGCAGATCTGGAGGCACTCCCTTGATTTAAATGAAGCCATGCCAAATTAACTGGAGATAACAGAGATTAAAATCTGCCCTGGTCTTAATGGGAAGCATTACGGGGCAAGCCACCTTTCTGAATGGTTGGGGAATTGATTTGCCATATGAAAATAGCAACAAAGGCAGGTTGTAAGCTAATTGGCAGTAAATGTACAGCAATTTTAATACTATCTCCTCTCCTTTCCCACCCCACCCACTTGAGGGTTGCAAACTACATTTGTGACATCTTGCTCATATGATGACTCACTGAATGGAGATAACTGATATCTTAAACAGTAAATTGGTCTCATCCATACTTTCAGGAGATTTAGATATTATGTTTATAGTGCTTTCAGATTAACCATCAAAAAGTGATCGTTACAAAGTGTATAGCTATGCAAACTGATACCCAGAACCCCCATAAGCCTTGCTATTAATTTGGAGCTCATGTCTTGCTCTATATAATTCCTATTTCTGCCTCCTGAGGAATTGTCTAAACTCAGTGCCGTGTGCTTGACTATATTTTAAATTGAAAGGATGATACAGAGTGTGAGTAGAAGGGGAAGTGACATGGATATTGTTAGAAGATATGGATCACCAGGCCTAACCCTTTATTTACTGGGAATTTATGCCCTAATTTCTCTTTGTAGTGCTATATTTTATCAGTTCGGTTAAAAAAAAAACCCAAATAAAGGCATGTCAGTATGTGAAAAATCAGTTCCTTTTGCCTAGTCTGTAATGGGCTCATCCATACCTCTACAAAGATAGTTTTGTACTTTCTCATCCAGAGAGGCTTGTAAGCATTTGTTAGAGAACCAGAACTCTTAGATAAAGAACATGATTACCTGTATGCATAAGCAATGTCATCACATGAATATTTTACTAGTCTCTTTCTCTTGCAAGGAACCAGGATCTGACTCTGATTGCTCCGTGGTGGGAAACTTAAACTCACTTACTAATCTTACTTATGGACAAAATTGGATTTCTAATTAGTGGTGCTCATTTGCCCTTTCATTGCATGGTTATGAAAGGCTAATGATACTCTATATGCAACTATTGTATCTACATGCCAATTGAGGTTGTAATGATTGCACTGCTTCCCCTTTGTAATGCAGTTTTCAGCAGCAGAACTCATATGAATGTGGGAGAAAAGTATTTTTTTAAAATGTTTTGTTATATACAAAAGACATTTTGCAAAATAAATGCAATCCCTCCTTCAAAAGCATTTAACCTCCCTGCCCCCTCCTCATGGCTTTGTTTCATAATCAGGTAGATTCAATACTTAATGGGTACCAGAGATTTGCATTGAATTTTCCTGGGTTTCAGTTTGACTGTGAATGTATCACATACAGCATGAAAAAGGCTTCATCTGTATAGTTTTTCTACATTTGCTCAAAGGACTCACTCCTGCAAAAAGCTGAACATCCCCCTAAGAAACTGTTGAATATTATGCCCTTCCATTTAACCCAGCATCTCTAGAGGTATTCTTCAGCCTTTTAAATGATTAAACAATGGATCATTAAATTCATAGAACACAGGGGGGAAATATGAAAAGTAGACAATGTATTTGTAAGTAATGTATATTTAGGTTCTATTTTAACTAAGCAACAAAGCCTTATAGATTCAGTTCTGATCCTTTAGGATTGAGCTAGAAATGTTAAAACAGACGCAGTTTTTCTCCACGAGAACTGCACAGGGGGATGATCCATTTCAGAGTAATTATTAATTTTTTTTTTTACTATTATTGCTGTCATACTGTTCAACCACCCCTCCCCCTCACTCCCTGTTTATGGAAAAGTACTACCAGGGAGTCCTTGCAATGTGTCTACTCATTTATACCTCTAGGTGGCATTAAATTTGTACAGATCCTGTGCAATACCTATAATGAAAAGCATTACAGTCTGCATAACTTGCAGCTATTGACATCTCTTTGGACTTTTTTTTAAAGACAAAAAAATAACATGTTCAATCTGAAGCACTGCTGTTTACCTGTTTGTTACTATTCGTTTGATTTGCAGATGAAATTCCTACAGTGGTTGGAATCTTTAGTGCATTTGGCCTTGTCTTCACAGTCTCCCTATTTGCTTGGATCTGCTGCCAGCGCAAATCGTCCAAATCTAATAAGACCCCTCCATACAAATTTGTCCATGTGCTGAAAGGGGTTGACATTTATCCAGAGAATCTCAACAGCAAGAAGAAGTTTGGAGCAGATGACAAAAGTGAAGGAAAGAACAAATTGGCGATGCCAAAGAATTCTCTGCATCTTGACCTGGAGAAGAGAGATCTGAATGGCAACTTTCCCAAAACAACACCCAAAATCCAGAGCTCCTCAGATCTTGAGAACTTGAGTCCAAAGCACTTTACAGAAAGGGAGAAAGATTCAATATCTCCTGATAGCTTAAAGTCCAACATGTCACTGTCTTCTGAAGAGAAACAAGAAAAGCTAGGAACTCTCTTTTTCTCTTTAGAGTACAACTTTGAGAAGAAGTCATTTGTGGTGAATATCAAAGAAGCACGTGGGTTGCCAGCAATGGATGAGCAGTCAATGACTTCTGATCCCTATATCAAAATGACAATCCTACCCGAGAAGAAGCACAAAGTGAAAACCAGAGTGCTGAGAAAAACCTTAGATCCAGCTTTTGATGAGACCTTCACATTTTATGGGATCCCCTATAGCCAAATTCAAGATTTAACCCTTCATTTTATGATCTTGAGCTTTGACAGGTTTTCCAGAGATGACATCATTGGAGAAGTCCTCATTCCTCTCTCAGGAATTGAGTTGTCCGAGGGAAGGATGCTAATGAACAGGGAGATCATCAAACGTAATGTTAGGGTAATTTCTTTTCAATACTTTTAGAAGAGTTATACCCCTAGGAATTATGTATTTATTTATTTATAATTTTACTAGCATCTTGGGGGAAAGGAGTTCATCATAAAAGTCATTAAGAAGCTTTCTTAAAGGTAGCATGGGGAAAGAGCTGTACAAGGGCAATACATTAACATTGCAATAAATATATTGCAAGGAATTGCTAATGAATCAAATCTTGCCTATTTGCACTGGTCTGGTTGACTTCAGTGGAACTACTTAGGTTAGCAGGCCCTGCCTCCCCTGACACATGTATTAGGATCAGGATGCCACCTCAGTATGGCAACAAGAACATGGAAAGTCCTCCCTCCCCCTCCCCACTCCCCAAATACCTTATCTCTATATTAGAAAAGGACAATCAGAGCTTGGGTCAAAGCTCATTTAAGTCAATGAGAGCTTTTTGATTGACCTCAATGAACTTTAGAACAAGCTCTTCAGGAAGAAAACTATTCTGCCCACTGTATTTGAACCCTACTGTAAATTTTATCTTTGTTTGCATCATTTAATGAAAATGATAGTTGTTTGGCATGTTTATGCACAGTCATTTTCTTGTATCTTAAGTATGTGGCACAAGCTGAAGGTCTGGTAGTTACACTGAAATGAATATTAAAACCAGTGGGACCAGTGTTTCACCTTATACTTCCTATCTCCTTATCCATTCCTGGAATGAAGAAAACATTTCAAAACAATCATGACAGAATTGTACCCATCAGCTCTTCCTAACAATTTGGCATGTGTATTGACTTTAAATGTAATTGCTTTCAAAAGATCAAGCATTAGATCAAATCACATTAATGTCTACCGACCAATATTTCTATCAGCAATACCATTATTGTAGAGCCTAATGTTACAGCACAACAGTTTTGTAATCAGCTCATTGATACTCAGAATACCAGAAGGGTTAAGCATTTCTCTCACTTTTTTTTTTAATTCTTTCTTTCCCCTCTGCAAAGTGAACCCACTGCTTTTGCAATTTCAGATCTAATAATGATACAGCTAGGAAAAAAAGAGTCATCTCATCATTATTCTGTTTAAATTATAGTCTTTCAGAGAGAGCATTAGGAACAAGATTTCAATAATAGTTTGAGTTTGCATTTGTGGTAAAGGTTTCTTTGTAGATTTTGGTGAATTATACGTTTGATTTTTGATATACGTTTTGTATTTTAGTTCTGCTTAAGATTTTTTTTTTTTGCCCAGAGATTTATTTCCTGTGATTAAGGGATTTTTAAATAAGGTTTGTTCTTTAATAAAACTTGACTCTAGGCAAACTAATATAACTCTTGCATCTCTAAAATTAATGATACTGTGCCAATTCATATTTTCACCTTGCTTTGTTCTGATCAGTCTATTAACAAGTCATAAACAGAGTTATGTAACCAGACTACACAGGACCAGATCTGCTTGCACAGATCAGCGTAGCTCCATGATGACTGCATCAATCTATACTAGCTCAGGATGTAGTATTATGTGATTTTCTTTTTAGTTTAGTATTGACTGCAATTTCCAGCCTGACCAAGATAATTGCTCATAAAGATCCTTTTATTCATTTCCTTAGAAGTCATCTGGGCGTGGAGAATTGCTGATCTCTCTCTGTTACCAATCTACAACAAACACTCTGACCGTGGTTGTTTTAAAAGCTCGACACCTACCCAAATCTGATGTCTCAGGATTATCAGGTATTGTCTTTACAAATGAATATACCATAGGGAAGGCAGTAAATAAATAAGTCTAAAGGAGGGGGTTTCAGATCAAAGATATGCATCACTCAGGTGCTCATTGGCCATGGCCCAATCTTACTTTTTTTACACACTCTAATAATGCTTTAAGTTTCATATATTGCAACTTGCTTTCTGTATAGCATGGGGCGTAAAATCAAAAAGTTGCTATCAGTTGCCAAAAAGGAAATCTTTGACCTAGTCAAGTCATTGCTTTTGCCATTGTCTTTAACAGGATTCAGCTGATCTCACTGTCAAGTTTTGTTTTCAAAGACTCTGGGAATTAATGTTGTATTATAACTAGCAAGTACTTTACAGAAGATTACTAGCAAGCCAGCTCCTCTGATGGTGTGATTCAGTATAAGCAATCAGACTAGTCCTATTATGCAAGTTTATGGTATTTGCAATATAAAATTATGTACTTGCCATTTACTATAAATAATTTGCTAAAAAGTCATTTGTAACATGACATTTCTATTTTGTAATGTTTGTGGGACGTACAAAGGAAAAGCAACTTTTGTACTTTGTTCTCATGGCCTTATTTTGCCTTTTTTTTGTTCTGTGGAACTGCCATTGAGAACAGCAGTAGGCTTTATATAAGGGATTGTATATGTGTGTGTGTAAAATATGTTATATTATAAGATAAATGTTGGACATGATTGAGTTAGAGCCACATAGCTCTTATCTAGGCTCTGAGTTCATGTAAGTATTGGGTAATTAATCCCATTGCACCAATGATATAAGACCTGATGGAGCTGTGAGTTCATCAGCAAAATGAATTAATCACATCCCTGGTCTCCTCCCATTGGCTTCACTGAGCAGGGGAGATGAGAAAATAAATTGCTGTGATTTTCTGAAGGAGAGCAGTCCTCTGATCAGATTAAAAAAAATAAAATAAAAACAAAGAACTTACCTTTAACCTCTCAAGCAGATTGTCCTAGTAGCAGGGCCTATGTCTCCCTCCTCCCAGGAGAGTGCCTTCATCACTGGAGGGAGTTGTGCTTCCTCACGTTCCTGGCTCCATGCATGCTGCTATCCAGTGGACCAGGCCAATGCTGGTGGTGCGTGCTAAGCATTCTAGTCAACTGACACCTCCTTTTTTTGGTGTTCTGGATCCTGAGTGGACAGAGTTATCAAATGCACAGCCTTAAATCCAGCACCTAAGTTTGAGGAGGGGTGGAAGTGTGGAAACACTCCCCTGCTTAGCATGTCTTCTTGGTTAGTTCTGGCTGTGCCCTTGCTCAGCACCAAGGCACTCTGGATTCTACACTGATCGTACATGGATCTTTATATGGATCTTAGGTATCTGACCCTATGCATTGAGATCACTCTTCTTGGGCAGGATGCCCACTATTCAGATATGCTTGCCTAAATCTGCGCACCTACAGGAGCAGTCTAGATCTAATGGTTTAGTTTCATCTGTGGCTAAGAGGTGAGTAACCAGCTAGGCTTATCTGCTCAGAGGGTGAAAGCAGTATGCAACATTTTGATAGGCCTTGGTTTTGAGGTATAGAATTTTGGGACAGTGTTTGCATTTTACCAGGTTAAGGCAATAATACTATTATTCAATAATAGTTCATCGTGAATATAAAAGAAGGAGAAAGAGAAATACACTTTGGACATGCCTTAGCCCCATCATATAGCACTTAGAAAGTGCAAGAGGACTTTTGTCTAAGAGTCTTGCAAAACACTCTCAGGCCAAATGGAATTAAAAAATATCTTCATGATCTGGGTTTTTTGGTGTGTGGGGGTTTTGTGGATTTTGTTTTCGTTTTTGTTTTGTTTGCTGTTTGTTGGTCCCATCAATTCTAAGCATGGCTTGGTTTTAGGGTCTATTTTATTTTCTGATCAACTCCAAATACTTCTTTTATTTAGGTTCTTGCATACACAGAATAATGCGTTCCATTGGGATCAATAAGTATTAGTATGCATTGCACCTGGGTAAATATAAGAAGGCTTTGGAACAGCTTCTCCACTGAATTTGAATTAGTGCTGACCTAGCAGAGGTGGGGGATTTTCAAAAGTGCCCGTCCAAACCTGCTCATATTGAAGCCAGTAGTGTAACTTGCATTGAATCCAGTAGAAGAAGAGTTTTGCCAAAGTTGAGAATACTGAGTGGGGGGACACCTTATGTTAATTTACAGGATTCAATTTATCGATTTATACTAGAGGGAGGTAGTTAGCTTTGTTAGTCTGAAGGTAGGAAGACAGTATGGGAGATGACAAGGATGGCACCTTATGAACTAACTCATTCAGAAAGGCATGAATTTTCCCAGGCACATCCAATGAAGACTGTAGCAAGTGACAAAGGAGTCTGTAACCTATGACAGCTCATGTTCTCCAAACAAGTTAGTTTATAAGGTGTCATCCTATGCTACCTTCTGCCATTTCTATTAGCTGATGGATTCTGTTCCAGTTCTAGATAGCAACCATAAACTCGGGGAACCTTGGCCTTGTATACCATATTAGCAAACAGGCAAATAAAGCATATATAATACAGTCCTAGATATGATGCTAACCCATTTTCCTTTTTTTTTCCAGACTCAAAAAAATGACAACAAAGTTATTTGTCTTATCATTTATTTTCACTTTGGTTTTTCAGCTGGGGACTTTATTCAACAATGTTTCCTTGTGACAGCCTTTTGTTGTGCTGCCATTATATTGGCAGAATATGGGGTTTCCCATTCATTTGCTCTATGAATTCTTGTTGGACAACAATAATCATTAACTCAGCCTAATTTTCTCATGTTCTCCTTCCCCCTCCCACTTTGTCATTCCAGATCCTTATGTCAAGGTGAACCTGTACCATGCTAAGAAAAGAATCTCTAAAAAGAAAACCCACGTGAAGAAATGCACCCCCAATGCAGTATTCAATGAATTGTTTGTCTTTGACATTCCTTGTGAAGGCCTTGATGACATCAGCATTGAATTTTTGGTGTTGGATTCTGATAGGGGGTCCAGGAATGAGGTCATTGGCCGATTAACCCTGGAAGCTTCAGCAGAAGGAACAGGTGGAGAGCACTGGAAGGAAATTTGTGAATATCCTAGGAGACAGATTGCCAAATGGCATATGCTCTGTGATGGTTAGCAGCTTAGAAATGGGTTGGAACTTAATAAATATTTCCATAGGCAAGGAGCAATTTTCTTTCTTTGCAATGTATAATTACAGGCTTGTAACAACAAGACATTTTTTGTTAAGACTGGATTGAATTATCAGAAGAGAAGGTAACTGAATTTTCACATTAAACAAAGTTGTTTCAAATCCATAGGAATTTAGCATAATTTAATAAGAGATTCGTATTCTGCTGGAGTTTATATAGCTGTACACTTCTGAAGCAGTGTAAACTTCAATAAGAACAACTACTCTTTTATGAATAACTCATGGGAAATCCTAGATTACTGCTATCATGGAGAAGATTATAACCTCATTAATATATATTGCTAGATCTAGGAATAGCTACTTGGATTTTTCATTCTAAAAAGTGGGGGCAGGGAGGAAAGTGAGTGGAAGAGAAAGTTCCTTTGGGTTAACCTTGTATCAGAAACCTTCTCTTATGAAAATTCAACCACCTTTTCATAAATTTAGGATACTCCTGTTTTGATCAACCCAAAGACTGAAGAAATTTTCAACAACTGGCTTTTACATATCATATTACATCATGTGCAAATAGTTGTTCTATGTGTGAAATATTGTATAATCATTTGTGTTTGGGATTTTTTTAATAAAATGGCATTTTATTACAATGGATGGAATAAATACATTCTAAAAGTCAGTTAACAAATCAAAACTAATAGTTTTACCAAAAGGGCTTGGTTCTAGGTGAGTGAATGTGTCCCAATATTGTTAGGATTTGTGATTTAGGTATAGCCTGCAATTTTCCCCCCTGAAAGGTTATACACTGAATATTTCTAGCCAAGGTAAGACAAGATAATGCCATATAAGGGATATTACAACAAATGGCCTTACACCTATTTTAGTTGAAAAGGCTTAGTGGTGCTTAAAAAATAGTGTTTAAAATATGTTTCTATTCTACTTCATTGAACTAAAACAAAATAATAAAACAAAATAATAAAAACAAAAAAACCACTACCAAATACTGTATGACAGGCAACAAAATTCTTTCCTGCTTAAATATACTGATGTAATTAACTTTATGGTCTGAGTAATCTTGCTAAAGTCAAGAGGAATAGTCTAGCACGTGCTCAAACGTTTGCAGGATCAGAGACCAGTTAGCATTATAACTCATGCTATCATGTTAGGTGAATTATTTTGAAGTAGCACTTTATTTAATTTTTATATGTATTTATGCCTGACTGTATTGAAAATTGTAGGTGGAGGGAAATACCACCGTGAATTCATAGTGTGCAACATGTATGTATAAAGTGATTTAAGCTGTGCCAGAATGGAGGAATAAAGTGTAACATAAACTGAACAAGTATAGACATAAAACGTTTGAGCCTTGTGAAACATATTTATGTTTGTACCAGGTACATTTTAGGCTGTCAAACTAGCACAACTGTAAGCAGATAGTTTGGTATTGGGTTTGTACAGTGATTTCTGATACAGTGTTGTCTAAAAACATTACTTTAAAGTCCTCTTGAATCACCAGATTTGTAAAAAACCCTATAGACATGTTAGCAGTGGAAACTAAAGAGGATTCAGAAGTGCAGGGTCAGTTTTTGATATTTGCACTCAGACTGCATATATTTACTTCATAAATAATCACATTGAAGTGAATGAGACTATTTATGATGATTATTGAGTGTGAAAAAGGGTAGTAGAATGGGTGGATGAGAAAATATTTTGAATAATGATATTGAATGAGGGGTTCAGCAAGTGAAAACTCCTGGTCTTGTTCAATTCAACCAGAGTTTTGTTGGGAACACAATTTGACCATAAAGGGACACGTGAACAGAGGAAGCTGGAATATGAAATATGCAAGTAAGAAATAAATATTACTGGAAGAATTCTATTGAAGCTCTTTCAGGTTTTGTGTCAGTAGTTTATCCGGTTTTTGAGAATGTGTTTGATATTTCAGTGTTTATAAAGTTATATAAAAATACATTTTCAGAACAACCTATACATGCTTTTTATGACAATGCTCAGTGTAAAAAAAGCAATTGCATATTGTATGTCTAAAAGAATAGAATCTTTTTTTTATTGTTATTATTGTTTAGACACTGCTGATCTACTCAAGTGCTAGATTTTACCAGGTTTATTCAACTACGGCAGGATGCAAAACCCACTAAAGTTGAAAGGAAAAGCTTCCATTCATTTCAGTGGGCTTTGGATCAATGTTGTAGAGTGGTATCTTATTCCTGAGCAGTCCCTAGCAAAACCAATGGAACTCTTGATGTAATAAGATAATATCCAATGTAATTAAGGATGATAGAGCCTAGCACAAAGGTAGCAGTATCATTGTCTAGATTACAATACCCTATCTAATGTTGAAAAGAACCTTGCACCATGAGTGATCCCACTCAAGTAGGTAGCGTAAGGGTATAGTACAAACTGGCCTGTAGATAGCACTTCTTTGAAAATGCAATCAGTTGATCAGACCCATCAATTTAGAGAAGACACAAATCCTTGCATTCAGAAAACCATTTTTAACCTAACGGTAGGCTGTGATCATCTCTCATTTTTGCCATCCAAAGGGATGTGGCCAGAAGAATGTTGTTTTTTTTTTTAGGTTTCTATAACAACCTGAGTGTTAATATTTCTACTAGCTAAATGACAGTTACTGGTGGGGGGGAACAGGGGAGAGGGAAATGAAGCATTTTTTATTACATTGAAAAAGTTGTAAATAGGATTTTTGGTTTTATTTTAAAGAAATGTTTAACTTGGAAAGTTAAGATGACTTGAAACACATCTGTAGACCAGACAAGGCAGGAATGGGCATAGTTCTGGCCTGAGTTTAAAAAAAAAATGTTGTTTTATAAAGTATTCAACTCTCAATGTGAATATCTTGAGCTCTGTTAAGGATACTGTACTGTATTAAACATGTAAAATAATGTTTGTCTAAGTAGCTTACAACAAATTTTAAAAAGCCCTGAATGGGAGGTTATCCATGTTTGAAGACCTGTTGTAACTAAATAACTGATTTGTTATGATGTTGTAACTTGATAGTATTTGAGAGGAAGCATGGTGTATGAGGTTTTGTAAGTTTTTTGTGCTGGCTCTGTATGTTGTGCCATGTATGTAAGACACGAATAAACTACTGCTCATTCATCCCATCCCAACACAAAATATCCCATCAATGTATGTTTTCTATAGACTTCCTTTTTTCTGGGTAAGTTTTTAACCTTCCCTCAAACACTGCTGACAGAAGATAACTCTTTTCTCTATCAAATCCCCCTTGCTACCTCACAATAGCATTAGGTTAGAGTGACTTGAGAAAGAGAATTTTGTCCCCAAAAACTTATCTAACATCTCTCCTAACTATGTAGTCGGTCAGTAAAATATATCACCAGAAAATCATTGCCTTGTGTACTTTAGGTTAGACTAGTTTTTCCAAAGGTATTTTGTAGTTCACATGCCCTTCTTTCCTAACAAAATTATTCCAGGCTGCCTTTCTTCTGTATTTGTTTAAAGTAAAATATGTGTTTGAGGCTGCTTTCCAACGTGGGGCCTGCCGGAGGGATTTTGGGTCTAGCTTTGCAACCCACACATTGAGTTTAAGCAGTAAAATACCCCTTTTGTGTCTCATCTGAAGCAGTTGGAAAGGTTTTGTTATAGAACAGTATCTTTCCCATTCTCTCTACCTCATTGGCAGAAATAAATGATTACCCATGGAAGAAACTGTGACTCAGAGGTATAAGTCTGAATCACACAGCCTCTTAGAGCTTCTCCTAGCTACATTTCCTACTGCTTATGAAAAAAAAAAATCCTTGAAGCTTCCCTTGAGGCTGAAGACTTTCCATTTAGTTACAGAAAAGCTACAACACAAGCAGTTCCTGGGCCAAATTCCTTGCATTTCTTGAGAATGGAAAATGGTACCCTGGAAAAAAATCCTTTGAGAGTTGTAGCAGCAAATCAAGCTGATATCTTTTGTCACTTTAATACAGAAGCCGATTACTACCTACAAAATGAGATGAGATCTACTAGGATCTGGACTGTAGGCACCAAATTTTATCATGCCAGCTATCAAAATCTTTCAGTTGTTATTGCTCTGGGTTAAGTTCAAGCTGGTAATAAAGAAAGGAAAAAGGTTTTGAGCGTGTTAGCAATCAACCTAGCCGCCTACTGCCTCATCATTCCACACCATACTATGTCTTGCTCGCTTTGGATTAAAAAGGCATTTTTCATCTTACTCTGACACGTCAACCAATCCTATGCTATGGAAGTCATTGTTATCATTTGTTCTATTACAGCTACTGATTTCTGTTTCTGAACAGTGTATAATTAAGGGTGGTCTTTTTTTAACCCTTTGGTAAAATAGGGTTGTTGGTTTATTCTGTGTTCTTCATGCTGTCAATAAAACCAGCTGTGGGCCAGATCTTCAGCTAGGAATAAATATTAAAGATGTTTGACATTTTTATGGTACCTTCTCTCTGAGGATATCAAAATATGTATATAGTTTAACGCGTTTCATATCACAATAGCCATACGAAACATAAGAGAAATCTTTTAAAATCTGCATTTCCCAACAACTTACAAAAACTTTATCTATCTAAATATAACAGTACAACCACTATTACACAGATGTCATAGATAATTCTTACTACAACTGTAGGTGTAAGCCTGTAGTCATTTTAAGAATTGCTGTTTGATAATAGTCAAGAAAAAAAGTGATTTTTTTTTTCCTGGGGGGCACTACAGGTAAGCAATTTTATGGGGAAGAAACTGAGGAACAGCCAAGTTAAAAGTTATGCTGAACATTACAAAGGAAATATGCAGTGCCAGGAACAAAACTCAGAATTCCTCCCAAACTAATCTATTTTCTTAGACATAGAAATAGCAGCCAGCCTCAATCCTGAAAATCCAGTGACATTTGCTATTGTACCAATGTGCAATAGTGCCAATGTAGATATGTGGGTATATCTACCTTCCAGTGGCACATCCCACCCATCCGCTCCTGCTCACATGCTCTAAACCCAAAAATGCATAACTGCTGATGCTACCGGGTTGTCTCAGTGGCCACTTTCTGGCATACAAGAGAACAATGTTTTGAGAGGACCTGAAGAGGAATGGAGTTCACGTTCACTCATATAGTCAGGGGTTTGAAGAAGGATTATGACCTTGACCCTCAGGATGTGGACATAACTATGGATGCCAGGATAGGATAAAGTGTCAGGGAATTCAGTGTATCCTTAGTTAATGCAGGTTGCCATGAACCATGGTAAGGAGGAATATTATAGCAGGTCTAGGGCCAGGGCAGCTTGAGAATCAGATGACGGCTCCTCTGCCCACCCTTCACATCGAGCAGTTCTTGGCCACAGTAATTTGGACAGCAAGTGAATCTGCAAAATAAATGCAGTTAATCTGCAAAATAAATACTTGCATAGAGAGTGTGAGCCATTTATCTGAGTATATGGGTCAATGAGATCTTGTCCTTTCCTTTACTTGGTATAAATATTGCATTACCATGGATTTTTGTTACAACCAAGTAGAAAGAAGCACGGAGCAACATGTGACAGGAGGCCAAGATGAAAAAAAAAAAGATGGTGTCAAACCTTTCCTTTCATTAGAGAGGAAGCTTCATCTTAAAGCAATGCTAATATGGCTTTTATAGTTCTTCTCTTTCCTAAACAGTCAAGTAGGCTGAGGACTGATGACAAGATTTAATGTAATTCCAAAGAGAATCACGGAGATAGCCATGCTTTTTGTCTGACAGGTGCTGTAAATATTTTACATGGTCCTGAAAACACAATTGGTTTTAAGGAAACAAATAAGAAGTATTTCACAAATATTGATAGCATTATTGATTACTCTTCAGTAATACCCTCCAAATGAGATTGCCTTTAGGATGGTGTGAATGGAAATTCCAAGATAGATATTTATGAACGCGGGGGAGCAGGGTGGGGGGGAGGCTATATATGTCTGTGTCTGAAGTGTGTGTGTGTGT